GAGAAATTAGGTTAATAATCAGAGCTAGATAAAGAGGATGAGAAACCCGTGTTGGAGAAGGGGAGCACGTGCAGAGTTCGATTCATGCATGGTTTTTTATACCAAAGAAGAAGAAGAGATGGAAGGAACTTGCACGTGCCCTGCTTCTCCAACAAGAGCTACTCTCCCATACTGGAGAACTATCTGAACTAATAACAAGTTTCCTACAATGCCTTCAAACTCCTGATTTTTTGATGGATAGATGGCAGTAAACTATAGCCAGGTATTTATAGAAGGGGGAGGGTTTGAGATGAGAGGTATATGGTGATGGGAGGGGGGGGAGAGTTATTAAAGCTTGGAGTCTTGGAGTGGGCATACTTTAAAGACCATGCATTAAGCAATCAAGTGTGTCCTGTATTCCTATTCCTATATTGATAGTAATTGATTTCATCACTTGTATTATGAGATGGTTAATTATGAAAGGGGAATACTTTTGAAACCAAGAGACAAAAATGATAGAAGGGAAAGAAGTGTGTGTTGCCATGCTTTCCTTTGATTGCCCATGCAACTCCTTTCTATTACATTTTTTTAAGTTAAAATTAGAGGCCACAACCATTGTAACATATAGTCCTGTAATATTTTTTCTATATCAAAAATATTGTGTCATTATTTACATAATCATACAATAAGCAAGTTAATCGTTTCGAAAAAGATAAAGTATTAAGTGCTAACACCTAAAAGAAGACAAATGTGTCGTAACTAATTTGAATCGTGCTTTGACAATAAACTCTAAAACTCTGTCATTGTAAGATTAACGGTTCAATTCTAATGTTATTTTATTTATATTAGTATCTCTTATTCCCCCCCCCCCCAAAAAAAAAAAAAGAGGTAGGAATTGATTGCTAGCAAAGCCAAAGAGATGAGCAAAAGTTTGTGTGACGAGAGAACTCAAAACTGAAAAGCCGGCAAGAAAGGATGCACTTTCACCCGTTACGTACACATACAACGTGTTAGACACGCTCCGGTGAAGGACGTGAATTTTGATGATGTAAACTGTAAAGAAGGTGAAAACATGCAATTGTTAGATTTGACGGTCGTTTCTTGACACGCCCGGCCTTGGGGGTGAAAATCTTATTCTGAATGCTTCCGTCATTTTCTGGCAGAAATTTGTCCCACTAATTATTCTTTTATTTCTTGCATCATTTTTCCTTTTCTTTGTTCTTTTGTCGTCACCACGCATACATATATTAACATTTTCTTTAATATATATATATATACACACACACGCGCGTAAATAAAAAAAAGATACTCTCAATATTTCTTATTTACGAACTCAAAATGTGGTCATTATAGATTACTAGTGGGCAATGCCTCACTCTTTGTACTAAACATTAAAGACACTTTATTTACGAATAAAGATACTCCTTCCATTATTTTTATTCTTTTCATTAAATTAAAATAAAATAATAAAGTACGACCAAAAGAGATTGTTATCTCATCTTAGAAAATTGAACAATGCAGCATATATTGAGAATGTATGTAATTCAAAATACATTATCAATTGATTCTGAATCATATGCGTAAACGTTTATACAAAATACATAGTTTCAATGGGAGTGGCAAAAAGTTCATAAATTTTGTTAACTTAAATCGTGGTCTTAGTACTATTTCCTATAATTTGCTAAACGATGACAATAGGAGAGTTTGGACTTTGGACATTGGAGGGTTGTCGACGGCAAATAAATACAGTGGTGGTGGTGGTGGAAGAATTATTAAACACTCCTCAAGAACGTGACGAGAAAAGAGAAGTTCATAAATGCAAAAGAGGAGAGAGTGACATAAAAAATGAGGTCATATTTTTGATTATTTTCCCACAAGTCATCAAATTAATGAGGGCAAATGCAGATGATGATCATGACATTTTGACCCCGCGGCCTAGTGGGAAGGGAAAAATGAAACGAAATGAAATGAAGTGAGCAAAGAAAAAAAAAAAAAATACTGATGAAAGATTAGACGTGGAGAGAAGAGGGTTTTTGTTTGCCTCCATCATTGGATTAATTTGGCAAACAAGGAAAATGAATCAAAAAGAGGAAGGGGGGGCAAAAAGAGCAGGGCAGCAGGGCATTGTGACAGACCCCAAATCAGTGTAAGAAAATGCACGTTTGGGGGTGGATGGGTTGCGTGTTGTGCGGGAGTTCTTGATGCTCTCTCCTCCTAGGAGAGGGAGGAATGGACTATGGACACTCTCACTCGAGACCCTTCTTGACTTGCATTACAGTTACCACTTCATAAACTCAATCTCTCTGCCACTTTTTGGATACAATTTCAAGATAAAATGATGTTCCATGACAGCATGTGTTGAGATGCAAATTACAAGGGAGTTCGTGTCTCTCTTGCTTATTGTGTATAAATTATACTCCCTCTGTCCGAAAATCATTATCCAATTTGAAATTTCACTTTTAGTACAATTTGAACTAAAAATGAAAACTCAAACTGGAAAATAATTATGGGGCGGAGGGAGTATCTTATTATAAAAAATTAGTTTTAGTTGTCATCGATTGTGGGGGATTTATCATAAATTTCCAAAAGTTCTAAAATTGACTTAATGGTCATTTTGAGTAAGTAATGATACATTCGAAATGGCATACGCACCGATGGAATTTATTAATTATTGAAAAAAGAAGTGAGCACTGATACAAAGTGTAATAACATCTTCACTACTTTTAACTTTTATGAAATTCTGTTAGGTGGCCTATAGACCCGCAGAACTTGTATTTCAATTCATATCACAGCATTACTCTTCCATTTTTCACTTCTCATATCAGATAATTTTCCACAGTACACAAGTACATCATTGTAGCTAGGGTTGATGTAATAGTATACTAACATATTTGCTACTTGTTTTACTATTCCCCCTTCACTATTAAACCATACAAATTGAGAAGACTAATTATGCAATTTACTCTCAACTGTTTTAATTGAGTATGGAATTTATTTTTTATTTTTTTTTGAAAAAAAACCTATATACTAAACTAAAAGATTTTTTTTTCTTAAAAAAATTTCACTTTATCCTATTTACTAAACTAAAAATGCGTCATAAAATAGACAGTTAAAATGAGACGGACTAAATTACAAAATTAACATATAGTACAAAAAAGGCCAATTTTTGGAGTGAGCTCGGGAGTGGAGTGCATGTGGAGGTGTCACATATGAACGTAGTTTGTGTGTTTGAAGTGAGGAAGGCAGGGTGAGTCCCTATGTAGATATGATTCCCTATCTTTGGTAAAGTTGTAACCCGCTTTGCCTCCCAAACTACACCACCTCCAATTCCATCCACATCACTCCAACATTATTATTTTTTTTCAATTTTTTTTCTCGTTTGTAAATGTATATATGGGTCAATTTTCCATGGGAAGATTTACTGTTACATTTCAAATCATGATTTATTTGCTCTGATGAAAATGGCAAGAGATTGTGATGTTGGAGTTTTCCTCTTTTCCATTTTTCCCTATAGTGTAGGGTTTTTTTTTTTCTTAGCCCTTATAGCCTTTAGATAAGGTAATACGCGAGTTTGTGGCAAAATTTAGGTGAAAATGAATGAGTTGGAGAGGGACAGTAGATGACTTGACTGCTTCCTTAACTTTACTATATCTTAATTCAATTTTGATCTGTCATGTTTCAACCTGTTTTCCTTCCCATCAGTGCTTATTGGTTTAATCAAATTTAAATGTGTGTCCCTTTGGGTAGCTGTCAATCATTTAAGCAGTTCTACCTTCTTTCTTGCACTAAACGGAGAAACAATTAAATAAATAAAGGAGACATCTTCAATTTTTATTTGAGACGATAAATAATAGTGACATTATTTAAGATTATTTTTTTTATTTTAAATAATACAACAAAGTTGATTATTTTATTTGAGAGGGGAGATTTTTTTTAGTGACATTATTTAAGGAAGAGAATTGACATAGTTGAGGTGAAATGACAATTTTACTCAAAGAGGTTTTTAGTCATCTTCACACTCCTCCATTTAGTAGTCCACGGAATCATGGAATGGAGAAAAATGGTGGCTTTCCATCTCTTCCAGTTTCAAGATCCATCATTTCGTGTCCCGTTTCACACCTATACTTTCCCACTTCCCATGTTCTTTGTCCCTATTATGGCTTGTGTTGATAGCATTGCACGTCCTTGAAGAAAATTTATAACGGGGACCTAGGAGACTAATGAAACTACCTTACGAAATTCCTGGATTTATTTATCAAATGTTTTAATTAGCAAGTCATGATGAGGTTTTATTTGACAAAAGCCTATGGTGCATTAGCTTAGTTGTGCTTACTGCTTAGAGATAGCTCAGTCATATTTGTAAGGGTGAGAGGCTGTGAATGTTGAGATACAGTCGAACTCAGGCTTATTATTTCAAGGATCTCCCCTGTTTAGGGAGGCGACCCCGTGAAGGATCTCTTTGCTGCAGCGGTCAATACATTATTAGATTGTTGATGGTGGTAAAATAGTTAATTGTGTAAAGATCTCCGTAAAATCATTTGCTGCAGCCGTCAATACATTATTAAATTGTTGTTATGGTGAAATAGTTTATTGTGTCCTGAATCCGTTGTCAAGTAGCTCAACGTAAGTTAAAAGACGACGAATTTATGTAAGAATAGTATAGTACTAGTGTATTACTATCCATAAAAATAATCCAAATTGAGTTTTAACATTTGTATTATTACTTCCGTCCCACAAAAATAGTCTACATTGAGTTTTAAAATTTGTATTATTTCTCCTACAAAAATAGTTCACATTGAGTTTTGAAATTTGTATTTGTGGGACTCCATTTCTACTATTACTTCCATCCTACAAAAATAATTCACATTGAGTTTTGAAATTTGTACTTGTGGGACGGAGGGAGTGGCACTGTTTATCTCTGTTGTTTGAAAGGATCCTTGTAACAGGAGACAATAGCTGAAACTAGCCAATTTTGGGTTGGCTTTTAAAAAAATCGAACAGACAAAAACGATCAATGTTATTGGGGATTAACAAACACGTCCACTTCACAGCCCGTAGTTAATTTCTTTATTCACAAATCACCTTAGTAAATGAAACGGCTAGGCAATATATATCCATTTGCCGAATTCTGAAACAGTTTGAAGCTGCTTGGCTGAAGAGAGTTTAGGCTTTCGTTCCATTCAAGGTCGGCCCATGCGCATAGGTACAGTTTTAAGAAACTAGACAATACTACAAGGTAGAAAGCAAACAAAATCGGAGGGTTGTAAGGGTTAACCATGTTTAACTCTTCTTCTCCTCCTTCACACCCTTGTTGCCTTTCTATGTCAGTTATCTTTCAGATTCTCATCTCATTCAACTCCCTTGAAACCCTCAGTAGTTCCACCGCTTCCAATCCTCACTATTTCCGCTACCCAAGATTTTGTTATCTAACAGCTTCACAGATTTAACTGCCTACTGTGGAACGGTAATATGTGTTCTCACATTCACAGAGACATCAGTATCCTGAGAGGCAGTTTCACTAACAACAAACACAATAAGAGTTCAACAATTGTTCCACAAGAGACCCCTTGTTACCGCTTAACTCTTGGACAAAATTTTCAAGTCACCAAGTAAATGAGTAATAAAACAGCCAAATTCAAAATTTCCAATCTAAGCAGACATAATCTATTAATAAGAATCTTGCAACTGCAATAACACAGTATTAAAACTACAGACTTGTTCAAATAAAAACACTAGGTGCCTCTCAGATTACTTGATTAATCTTCTTCCTCAGCTTCGTTCTCAGCAATGTTGAAGTACCTCAATTCATACACATTTCGGTCCTTGTTGGAGGCAATCACACGGAGCCAATCTCGGACGTTGTTCTTCTTCAAGTATTTCTTTGTCAAGTACTTCAGGTAACTGATACGTAGAAGCAAGAAGAACAGTGTGAGTACAGCTGATTAATTGTCCTTTGAAGCTAAGGTAAGTTCTATTCGGCCAAAGGAATAGCTAACACAAATAAACGACTATTCATTTCAACTTTAATCCATACGCATAAACAAAACAAATGCAAACAGGGTTCCCAAGCTGAAAAAACATAGAAACCAAAGATAAAACAGTTTACATGCAATGTTACACTTTCTGAAGGAATAAGCAACCCAATTTGTTCATAGAAACTACAGTACCCAGTTAAAATGTAAATTTACCACTCTTAAATGGCCAAACAAGCAGTCTCCCACCATAGTCTTGTTACTCCATCACAACAAAATATAAGCACACCAAATCCCACTGTAAATTGACAATCTCAGAGAACCCTTAACTTACTTTGATCATACAGCCTTTGATCATAAAGAACCAACAGGATACAGATGCAAATACCAAGCATCCATTGCGTTATTAATAGCTTCACATCAAATGAGGCAAGATAATGACTTTTAAGGCCAATTAATCGAACTCGAACAAACAACCTCTAAAGTTACCGGAACTCAAAACCCAATACATCAAGAGAAAACTAATCTCAATCCAACCTCAATAGAATCAAAGTAAGAAACAAAATAATTCGACTGATTTAAAAACAAAAACTCAATACATCAGATGTTAAAATGAAAAAAAAAGCTTACCGCTTGGAGAAGGTTGAATCAGTGGTGACGGTGATCTTGGTCTTGTCACGGGTAATGGTGACGGAATCTCCGAGAGCGCCAGTCTTGCCGCCGACCTTGATGCGTTCCTGAAGGTACTTTTCCAGAGAGAGAATGTCCATAATCTTATCCTCCACCGGCTTCGCGCAGTCAATCACGAAGGTGGAACCCTTCTTCTTCCCGCCCTTAGCGGCCGCGCCACCACTTCCTTTACTCATTTTCCCGGCGGTGAAATTACCTCAGAAGAAGATAGATAGATTGAAGAAGGAAGAAGAAGTGGCAACGAAGAGATAGACTAGGGTTTTACAGAGAAAATCTTATATATATGGCCGCCTCTTGGGTAATTTGTTTTGGGTTGATCTCGAAGTGGAGGTTTGCATTAGTTTGGGCTTTTGAAAAGGCCCATTTTGAGTGAACTTGAGAAAATGATCACATTTTAAGGTTTTCAAGGGCCCGATTCAGATTCTTCCTTGACAGATGTGAAGCTATTTGCACAAAATAATTTGCGTTTTTTTCTTATCTGTCCAATCAGAAATTTTTAATACTTCTTCCGTTCCATAATTATTGTCCAATTTGAATTTTCATTTTTAGTTTAAATTATACTAAAACTGAAATCTTAAAGTGCACAATAATTTTGGGACAGAGGGAGTAATATAGTAATATTCGGAATTTTAAGAGCACACACACACATATATATATATATATATATTTGAAGCATTAAGAGGATTATTATAATCGGGTAATTGTGATACTTTATAGTAATAAAAAATAATGGTTTAAAATTTGCAAAATAAAATTTTAAAATATTCACACCCTCACCATTCTTACTTTTTATAAAATCTTTTGACTTTTATAAGCAACAAAAGTTTTTCGAAGAATAAGGAAATAAATAAGGGAAATTACTCTTTGTTTGGTCATCGGATACACATGTCAAATAATATTAGGTGACGGTTTTTTAGGCCTTATATTTGCCGTACGCGTGTTAAATTCCGTCCAGTACGATTCTCTAGTCTTCTCTATAAATACTTTGCAATACCCCTTTTTTCTTTTTTCTTCACTCTATAAAGATATTGGGATTTTTCCAGTAACTTTAGCCAAGCATAATCGTCCTCTTCGTTATCTGGTGCGTTCATCAATTCTTCCAACGAAGTTATCGTGATTGTTTATTCGGAAAAAGAAAATTCTAATGTGATTTTTTTTATTTTTTTTTATTTTTTGGGTGTGTTTCGATGATTTTTCCCTCCTCTCTGTTTCATTAGGTTTTACTTGTTATCTTGTTCTATAAAATCTCTTATTGCGTTGTTGAAGATGAGTTCAAATTTTCGCGAATTGAGATTATTTTCTGCGTGAATATTTGATTGATTACTACAAAAGTACAATGATGTTTAGGGCTTTTTCATGGTTTGCGAAATCAAGTATAAAAAATTATGGGTTTCTTGTTCAATTGATTTAATATTTTGGTAAGAATATCTGCGTTGAACGACACTAGTCTCTGTTATGAATTGTTATGTAAACTTATAACCTCTTTTGGCGTTAAATTTGAAAATTGTGAGCTTTTAGGGATAAAATGTTATCTCATTACATGTTTTTTTTTTCCCATCCCCTTCTTTGTTTGTGTTTTCTTCAGGTGGAACTATGGGTGTGTTTGTTCTCTGATATTTTATTCCCAACCTTTGGTCCTCGTCCATATGATTGGAGTACAATTTTGTCATATAGAGATTATACTATATGTACTTTTCTATATTTCGTTTTGTTTGTTTCTTGTTCTTTGTTTTGTTTTAGTTTCTGTTTACTTTTCACAATACTGAGATGGGTTTCCAATCAATGTTGGGAATGATGTTCTGTGATTTGTTTTAGTTTCTGTTTACTTTTCACAATATCTGAGATGGGTTTCCAATCAATGTTAGGAAGGATGGGCCGATCAAGCCGAACCATTTATGTGGGCAATCTCCCCGGAGATATCCGTGAGAAGGAAGTTGAGCACTTGTTTGATAAGGTTTGCAAATCGTCCAAGACTTTTTTTGAGCATATGATGTTTTGGTTGAATGTCACTTGGTAATTTATGGTTTTAAGTATCTGAAATCAGCAAACAGCATTTCCTTAATATTATTCTAATTTTTCCTCCTGGAAGGATGCAAGAAAGAAGTTTTTTGTTTTTCTTTATCAAAGATCCACTGGTTCAATCATTTTTATTTTCCTTAAAGATGTGAGATCAAGATTCTGCTTTTCCTTTAAGTCTTTATATTATTAATGGTAAGGATATCAATTAACCACTATTCATTTTGGGAAATTTTGTTTAGTACTTAGTACTCCTTTTTTTTCCCCTTGTTCTTAAGGAAAGAAGCTTTCTTATCCCCCACCCCCTCTTCCCTCCCGGGGTGAATGGGGAAAAAAATTAAAAACCCCGACAGAAGATAAACAAGAAGTTCTTAAACTCAATGAGGGATTCTGTAGTTTTCTAGTTTTGTGCTGCTGCAGTGGTATGAGGATTGGAACATACTGTCGTCAGTTCTTTCATTGCTCTAATTGATAATTTTTTTCCCTCCTGGTTTTTTGCAGTATGGACCTATAGTGGATATTGATCTGAAAATCCCTCCACGACCACCTGGTTACGCATTTGTGGAGGTGAGTTTCTGGCTGACTCTGGCATTTATGATGGCACCTTTTAGTGGGCTGTAAAAGTCATCACATAATTGGCATATGCAGAATGTACAAGTAATCGATCAGCTGGCCATGCGGGCATTCTACACAATGTTCACGTCCTGCTTTTTTTTATTATTATTAATTTTTTTTTTTGGTGAATAATTAGATTTCTTTATAACTTTTAAACGATATTGATTTCAGTTTGAAGACTCTCGTGATGCTGAGGATGCCATCCGGGGCCGTGATGGCTGTAGCTTTGATGGTCATCGACTACGTGTGAGTATCTGCCACGAGCTCATGATCTTAAATCTGTTGATCGTTACGTTATCATATCTGAGCATGGTTTTGCAGGTCGAACTTGCACATGGTCGTCGGGGATCATCACGTGATCGTTACAGCAGCTATAGTGGTGGAGGAAGTCGTAATGGGGTTTCAAGGCGCTCTGACTACTGTGGTAAGTACTGATATACGATTAATAACTTCATTTGATGCTATGAAGTACTTACTTGGGACCTGGCATGATACTTGAAACTGTTTGCAGTTTTGGTGACAGGGCTACCTTCTTCCGCCTCGTGGCAAGACTTGAAGGTTAGATTTTATCTGTAGAGGTGTCTTCCTTTAGCTTTATACCTTTTCTTTAAAAAAAGGAGGGAAAAAAAAAGGTTTTTGGCGAGTCTGAAAGATTCAGAGGGTGACAGTGGAGTTGGCGATTGTTGTTTGTTATTTAAATAAACGCTAACTTGACTGAGATATGAGCTCTCCTTTTGCTTGTTACAGGATCACATGCGCCGGGCTGGTGATGTGTGTTTTTCTCAAGTGTTCCGTGACCGGGATGGTGAGTACTTCAGCACGCATATTGCTTTTTAATTGAGATTCCAGGTTTGATATTTCACATTAGTGTTAATATATGCTGATATATGAATTCCATGATGACCTTGCTTCGACATGGAGATTCTAGTTGTGGGATTGAATTCTGAATCTAAGCTACTGTGAGGCTTGTGCTTTCGTTGACAGCTTGAACCCCTTTTGACTTTACTGAGAAGGTCCCCAGTTTGTTAAAATTGAAAATCAAAATATAAAAGAATAGAATAATAAATTTGAAAATGTTATGAATATGTTCATGATGTAGTAATTTTAGAAATGTTGTTTTTTTTAATTTAAAAATTATTTTGTGATATTAAACTGTTAAAAAATTTATGCAACCTCAGATTGAGCTCAATATTACAGAAAATTCACCTATTATCTAATCATATGTAATGGATGCTTCAACATGTTTTAGCCTGTTTAGAAGTTAAACGTTAGGGTTTTCCAATTACAGAACACATCTGAAGTATATTTGTTTTGTTTGTGCTGAATGTGTCCTATTTCTGGTAATTGCTGGCCAACTTTTATGAGCTACTAGTAAAGATTGTACTTTGGCACTCTCCTTTTTCCTGCTTTGAGTTACCCTATTATTTTTTGCAAAATATGCAGAAGTGTAAAAAATAATCCAATCAGCTTTTCGTTTGTAGACATTTGAAAACCCAAAAAGCTTCAAAGGCGATAAGTCTGGGAGCTTGATCTGCTGAGTATGTTTTATTTACGAAAATACAGGAGAGATAACTCTCCTTTTGGTTGTGACATTCTTTTATAGACAGTTATATTGCATGTATCTTTGTGTAAGCATTTTTCTGTATGACAGACTGGTATTATGTTGCGTCACTTTAGAACAAATCGACTTCTGAATCACTGGTTCTTTAACTCCCATTTCTTTTTTTTTTTTTGCTTGCATAATCTAACTTGAGTTTCTCCAGGGATGAATAATTTCCCTGTAAATATAATTAGGACCATCTCCACTTTTGGGATAATTAGTTATATTTATCTCAATGTTTGTTCCATTGTGCTAGCAGCATTCTGTTCTCTAGAATGTACTGCTGCATAATGTGGTTACTTTGGGTGTTTTGAATAAAATTTTTCGATGTATGTAGAATGAACCCAGAAACTGGGTTGAAGAATTGGTTATATCTTGCAGGTATGAGAGGAATTGTTGACTACACAAACTATGATGACATGAAGTATGCGGTAAGCTGAATCATTGGACTCGCTGTTACTTTCTGGTCACTTTTGTTGGCTGCTACATTCTTGCCCCTTAATCTGTTTGCTTTAATGCAGATAAGGAAGCTTGATGACTCTTTGTTTCGCAATCAATATTCTCGGGCTTATATAAGAGTGAGTGAATGATGGATACTGTAGATTTTTCCCTTGTGCCATAGTAGAGAGTTTTTTATTCCTTTATTAATTTTGTAGGTGGAGGAGTATGATCGAAGACGAAGCGTCACTAAAAGTCCTAGTGATAGTCCACGTGATTCAAGCAGCAGGAGCCCTGAATATAGCAATGACATTAGGAGCAGAAGGTCTACCCAGATTTAATTGGTTTTTTTAAGCTTTCCGTTGTTTGTCTTAGTTACTTGTCGCGTTGACACATGTTGGTTTTTGCAGTGTATCTCCTAGGCCCATACATTACCGTCGCACTCCGTCCAGGTCTCCTTCAGAGTCTGTTTCATCAAAAGCACGTTCTGAGTCGCCTGGGCGTTCTACTTCAAGGTAGGCTCTTGCTATTGAGTTGGTCTTTGTCTTTACTTTACGAGTGCCTGAAGCCCCCCGAGTCTCTGACACTACTGAAATTGTCATGGTTAAGATTTCTATGGCATATGTTCTGTTACTTGCGAACCTAATAACCTATGTTCCATAGGTTCTGTCTCTGGGCGAATGCTTTGTGTTTCCTGGTCAGATCATTCTGTGATTTCATGGGTCTATTTGCTGATATGTGAATTGTTCACAAACCATATTTTTAAAACCGAAGGTGTAGCTCTTATTTGAATACGTAGTTGAAGATTCCTTGCTTCTCTTGTAGTGATTCTTCTTGGTCTTCCCCACTCAATACCCTCAAATGTCAGTACACCATTATTTCACACTGATATTGAGCTAGGACGCCTCTGTATTTGTATTCACACATTGGTATTTAGCCGTGCAATTTTTGTTCGTATACTCCTTCCGCCTTTTTTGTTCCCTAACATTTTTTACCTGCTTTTGGGTTATACACTTATACTTGCTTCTTTTTCTTTGTCTTTTTTTCTTTTTTTCCTTAACTTTGGTTATCCATTTTCTTTTTTCTTTGTTTTTTGTTGGTCTTGCGCTGTTCGCTATAAGCGTTTTTACTCACAGTCCTGCTGTTAGGGATTGGTTCGCGAACCTTGTGGTGTTTCCATAACTCTGGTTTTAAATTCCTTGTGGATTGCTATGATCTTTTTTTTTTAAAATAAAAATTTATTTTTCGGTTCGTGACGCCTTATGTGTGTGAGGGGTCATGTTTCTCGAAGTGTTGTATTTTGGAGGAGAGAGTTCTTGGTGTTCTGACCTCTGTAAACTGTTGTAAATAAGAAAGAGCCAGAGGATGAGTAATATTACGTTGACTAAACTTTCTTAAAAATCCCATGTTTCATGTAGCTGATTACCATGCCCATTTTTTCGTTGAATAACGCCACTTCTTTATCATCACAGATTTTTGGAAAAGTCATCCTAAATATTTTCATATTTGCGGGATTTGAAACATTAATTGATTCTTCATATTATTTCCTTTTTCTTTGTATCTTTAGTATGGTGCTTCTCTATTTCTGGGAGATTGCATGCCAGTATATTTTATGGGGATTGGGATGGTTGAGAAAGGATCTTGCCACTTTTGTGGTTGATGATAGCATTATGAAGATTGCTTTTTTTGTTTGCTAGATGTGGATTTCTGCGGCTATCTGGGGATTGCATGTTAGGGACTTGAGGATGTATTGGTGCTCAATTGCAACTCATTTGGTTGTGGGACCTTGTAGCTGTTTACTGTATAGTTGACTGCACCTCCGGCATTACCTGGATGGTCAAATTTGTGTATCTGTGTTTATTCTGGCAAGCGGTGCCAAGAGATGCCAAGGCTTTTAAGTGAAGACAGTGGTGATTAATTTTAAGTTGGATATAAAAGAAATGAACTACTTGGTATCTTGAACACAGTTGGAAGATGATACTGATTGATCTTAATTTTATAACCGTTTTTTACTATGGACCCTAGGCCTAGGGTTATGTATCAGACTGTTCCAACTTTGGTTGCTCTCTGATCAGGCCTTTCTTAGTTTGAGGACCATACTGGAAAAATGTGATGTCGACTAATGTGAGATTGTTTCAGAATGGGTCTAGTATATATATGCTCTGCGTAAGTGGTGCTAATGATTGTGAGTTGACGCCGGTTTTGGTTTGATTGTAAACGTCGAAGTATCTTGGATGCATTGGGTCAAAGGTTTTATAGGGCTATTCTGGATATTAAAATGTGTTTGTTTTGGAAATTTTTGCAGATCACCAACAAGAGTGAGAAGCCCAATGTCTCCTGTACGTGATTCTTTTCGGTTTGCTTCTCCCTCCCCTCCCCCTCGATTTTTAGAGCGTATAACGTTACATCTCCTGAGTAATCTTTTATTTCTCACCCTCGTCACAAACACATGAGCCCAAGTCCAGATCCAAGGAGTAGGAGCCAAAGCAGGAGCTTGTCTCAGTCACGGTCTCGATCTCCTTCTGTATGCTCTCCTTGCAAATTGCTATTTGCAGTTTTTTGTGATATAGAATTGCTGTCCTCTCTATCTTATTACTGTGATTTTTGCAGGTGAGATCTGATTGATAGCTGCGGTGTTAAGGATGATGAGACTATGCAGCTGAGTTGGATCTTGACATGTCTCTGAGGGGCATATGAGCAGGATGAATGGTGAAGTCATATAATGTCGAATTGTACTTTGTAGATATTGATAGTTTTAGATTGATGGCGCTTGTTTTGGAACTTGTTAACAATTGGGTGCTAGTATACACTTTCTTTGAAGTGTACTGATTGACTTAACAGTGGTTGGTAGTGCTATAATGAAAGGATGAACGTGGAATCATGTTAGTTAAAGAGTGCTGCTGTGTGTTCCGATGGGGTCCTTAAAAGTTTTTGGTACTAGGTAGTTCTGGAGACAACTGAGTGGTTAAATTTTCCAAGATAGACAAGTAAATGATTATGAATTGGGTGTGTCTGTTTGCTTAACCAGTTATTAACTTTGATGTGCCTAAACAATCAACCATACAAGAGTCTCATATTATATCCAGCTTGTTTATTATTCCAGCCTGAAAACGGTTACGTCCTTCTAAAGTGAAGGGTTTAATTTCCATCTGCCGAGTTCCGTGAATTTCAAACTTGGGACAACTTTGTTAAATCCGTAGTAGCACTAAATATGATATTGGACGATGGAATACAATGGGATAGATAATATAATGTAGACATTGTAGAGGGCTGCCCATGTGACCCCATGGCATACCACTGAAATGACTGCTCCCTCAAACGACACGGGAGTTACACAACGGGGCAGGCAGAAAGCAACAGCGTCTGTCCCTAACCTTTCTATCAGTTATTTCCAAACGAAAAAGCCTTTCTTTAATTTGACGTTTTGCAGGAAACATGTTTTTGTTTCAAGGCCGAACTTTTCATTATGTAAAAGTTCCTGAGACTTGAAGGCGAATGTTCCCCAACCTGCCAGTCTTCCAAGGGGCAAGCATCATCGATTGGTTCTTGATAAAATGAAAATCATGAAATGTTGAAACTAAAACGGAAGCACAAGCAGATACATTTTTGTACTAATCAATACGATTCATTCCAGTGAACTATGAACAGTCAATGAGTGCTTTATTATGACATTTTCTCGCTCAGACCATGGGAGCGCTCATTGTCAACAATACAAAGCCAATTGCTGGAAATGTTTACACAACTTTGCCATTCAACAGTGGAATCTTATTCCACACCCCAGGCAAAGTCTTGCGAGGAAGCCAAATCCATCACACAATCACCTTGCCCTACAAATTGGATCATTTTAAGGGCATCGCAATGGTTTTAGTATTGCCAATCTTGACAGACTAATATCCCTTGCGGATTGTTTCTCAAACATATATAATTCCGGTTTTAGTCATAGGAATCACAGAATCAATCAAACAGAATAAGCAAGTCTATGACCGATTATGAGATGGCATCCTCTCAGACCCGTGCCGCTGACGAAAGCTGTTTGTTCTGAGATCAGACCCTCCAGCTACTTGGTGGAATGGCCCCCAACCCATGTCTCTATCGATTTGACTTGATGGAAAGGAAGACAAATGATCACGGTCCCAACTATGGAAGCGGTTGGGCAATGGGTTTTCAGGTTCTTGATATGTTCTTCCAGATGAACTAGAAGGTAGGAAATAAAACCCACCAGGCTGCTCAGATGATGAAGCAACTGCCCCAACTTGGCCTACACTCCTATGACTGCTCGACCTTCGTGATCCTGAAATCACTGGAGCGCGTAATGATGAATTGCTGGGTTGCTGAGAGTATGCCTGAAGGGCTTGCATACGGTCTCGATTCCGAGCAGCACTTCCGGGATAAGTTGGGATCATTGATGAGGCAACTGAGCTCCCAGCTCTGGCAGCAGAACTGTAAGGAACAGTCACATTAGAAAATATTAGAAGGGAATAAGACAATAGAGGCAAGTGGCCTGTCAACTCTCAACAATAGTCTTGCCTAACCCTAGCAATCTTTACCCAATACTATCCAACTACATCTATCCTCATGGAAGGTCCCCATCCTGTTCAGTATTATAAAATAATTAATTTCCTTTTACATGGTTGAATTTGATTATAGGTTGCATAAGCATTCTAGGAAGTAAAATGCACATTACTTCAACCCAAATTGTGACAAATAGGTATGAGAATTGTAAACACATGCTAACCTGTGACCAACAATGAAAGGAGGGATAAAGGATCCTGATCTTGAAATGTCAGAACTAGTTCTAGCGGCTCTTGGAGCCACAGATGGGAGAGATGGCTGATCAGCACCACCTATGCGGCTGCTTGTTGAGGAGAAAGGTGCAGAATGATGATCCCAACCGTGATAATGAACATCCATACCAGGAAGAGCATAAGAAGTGGGCAGTTCATTGGGGATAGATGCAGTGTTCCAATGGTTGTTGAAATTAGAACCATCGGAAACACTAGCAGTAGAATTTGATGACGAGTGATGAATAGGCCCAAAATAGGCAACATATGGGCAAGGATGACTTGCAGATGACACAGCAGTATGCTCAGCAAAGATGGCATGTTGACCAAGTAGTTCATGATCTACAACAAAGGACTCTCAATATTACTTGTAAAGAATCAATAACAGCTAAATTTTAAGCAAGATAGAAAATTCCTTACATGCAGTAGATGAAAATTCTCCTTCACTGCAGAGCACAAAAGGCAACATGTCAAACCAACATAAACAGGAGCAGAACAGTAAGAGGAAAAAGAATGCAAAAGGCAAGCTCATATGCAGCAAAGAGTTCACCATCAACAGTTGCCATCAACATCATGTCACTGGGTAAAATGACATTTTATACTTTCATTTGATAATCTTTATTACATTTAACTGTAAGAGAGGCCCCTAAAACGCTGAATGATATTAATAATAATAAGTGCTGGCAAGAGGACAAAACATACATTAAAACAAAACCAGAAAGCATGCAGGATACTCCAGCTGCTACTGAAAAGCACATAGCTTACACAGTGTAACAGATCCTCTCCATACCAAACACGTGCAGATATCACAAAACAAAGTTATACAAACTTATTTACCTAGTATCCTCAGCAGCTGAGCCAAAAACGAGTCGATGTTATAGAACTCAGAAAAGTTTGGGACAAAACAGTAGGAACAAGATTTCCTATTATTATTATTTTTTATATTAGGATTTTATTTATTTATTTTAATTAGTATATTTTTCGGAAAACAAGATTAGAGAATGTGTGTTGAAGGACATTTTTTTCCTTTTTATATTCCTAGATTTTAAGTCTAACCGAAGATTGTTCAGATGTTTTTTACCCTCTTAAAAAGATGTATCCAAATAGAATCTCCATCTTCTCAATGGTAAGTCATTCATCTTGATCATGATAATCAGTATCTCTTCCAGAATTCAAACTATTCATGGGGGAACAAATTTAAGCTAAAATGGTTGGGAGGGATAATATGAGATATGAAAACAATAAACTTCCTAATATTTCTCAAAACAAAGAAAACAGATATAAGAAAAGAGAGTCAACAAGCAATTACAAAGAGATAGAAAAAGAGAGACATGAAAGGTGACTGAAACAGAACAGAACCTTGAAATCAATGCACAGGGAGAGATTGGAACTTACTCAAAAGATGAAGGTAGCCGGGTCAGTCCACTAAACGGACACCAATGGACTCCAAAAGACTGCCAATAAAACCCAAAAACAGATCAACACATTGACCAGGGCCCGGAAAGCAGAAAGTATGAAAATCTTACACTTGTTACCATTATCGTTTTACACTGGCTACCATGATTAAAAAGGTATATGCTATTTCAAACATACATGTACACAACAGAAAAAGACTACATGGGTGCAAATTCTCACTGACGGAATTCCAAACTGTGATCTTGACCATGCTGGAGTTGAGTATAATAAAGGAAGGGAACTAATTTCAGTATGCCTAACATCAATTTTGCCAGAATTGACCTTCAGAGAATCATTATAGTTACCCTCTGATTTAGGAAGGCCATCCAAATACACTGCTGGGGAGCAACTTCAGGTATCCTTTATGTTTCTTGTTTCTCCAACATCTTCTACTTATGCATCCAAAACTAGATATATTGAGAAAGAAATCCATAACCTTTTCTTTAACAAATTGACTGGTACAAAATAATAGCAAAACAGTCTAGATTACTACTTGATGGAGTCTACTTTGAACATTCTTTCACTTTCAGGATAATCTGATTCTCAAGCATATGCCGCATACTTTATTTCACAGTTGTTCTTTGCCAAAGCATATGAATACTGGTAAGAGAACACGCACTAAGGGATACTAAGTTCAATTCCAAGCCGCAACACCTCCTTACACAACTATAGTTCACAGACTCTTCTTGGACTTATCAAAGAGTTGATCAGTGTCTCAGCAAAAAGTACAGTTGGCTAGAAATGAGAAAACCAAAAGTGATCATCATCACCCTCATCATATGGAAACTAAGAAACAAAAAGCATTTCAATTGACAACTAAAGCCATATTATGTCATGAATATGCACATAAAGTCAGCAAATCTGCGTGACTTTTCAAACCATAAATCCCAAGTTATATCCTCCAATCATATCACTTTCACGACTCTAAGGCACCTCATCGGGTGGATGGCCAAGATACTTCTTAAAAGTCAATAAGATATATTACCATTTCAGAGTAGCTAATCTCATAAGCATCTTCATCATGGACCCAATCATCCACGTTGAATTCAGGTGCCTGCCGGCCACCATTCGCAAATAGCCATTGACCTTTCTCAATCTTTCGACAGTTTGGACACTGCATGGCTCCCTTGATATTAAAGGCAGAACCGATGCAATCTGTTTCAGATAATGAAATATATAAACACATAAGAAGATGTAACAATCAGATCTTGCAGTAAGTTTCACCAAGGAAATTATGGCCGTCTTCCAAAATCATATCTAAAGAAATTTCTGGATACTAGACAGAGTAAATCACACAATATGAATGGCATATGTTCCAAACAAGTACACTGCAGGTTAAACAACACAAGTTAATTTCTTTCTCTAATGTGGCAATGTAAAATTTTGCCGGACAGTAAGAGTGCAAAGTATTTGGTAATTCAAACTCAACGACTTTTCAATCAGCAACTAGATAAAGTCAAGACAAGTTGCTATGGTGAATTAATAAGCACGTTGGTCTTAAGTAGCAGAGCAGAGCAAGACGCTCCAAGTCTTAGTGGCAGCATGCCACTTCCTCAATAATTTCAGTAAAGACAAATAATCCATATAATAAAATGAACTCAACCCTTTCAAGCACCCTCCAGAAGAATAGTAAGCGTCCTCAATGCCCAACAAAAAAGCAAGGCCTCATCACACACAAAGCATAAGAAAGATGCTATCGAACTTACAAATGTGTGGGACTCTTGACACAAAATTAAATGTCCAAACGAAGTCCCTTTCTAAAGTATGTAAACATACTGCTTCCTATTTTCAACTAACACCACTGACAGAACTAAAACAACCTTGTAATTAAAAAATTTGGCTATTCACATCTGCTAAAGAAATGAAGAATGTAATGACCTTTTTCATCGCCACAAAAAAGCCATAAGAAGGCTGTAATGTTAACTTACAGATAAGCAAACACTTGATCCATGTACTAAAGTAAGTCCCATTTCTTAAAGTTTAAGTGCCCGCTGAAACCTATTACCCACTTACATGAACAATAAAACCAATGAAGTCTCAGGAGTCATGATTCAATGATATTTGAGCTCATGTTCACTTAAACGCTCAAGACAAACAAGAAAGCCATTATCTTTTCCAATTTTCATTCCTTGAGGACACAGATTCCAATGCATATGCTTAAAATCCGTCCATACTTCTCATCATGCAAGTCAAAGCCTCAACACCGTACCACATTCAACTATAGTCAAATCAAGCCTTCCCAGAAATCAGATTACATAACAAACGGGATAAAGTTCAGTTTCGGCAACAGATTGCACCCATCGTTCCATAAACCAAACCTCATTTAGCACCCAACACCAAATTCAGCTAGCATTTTGTAGGTTTTTTTTAGTGTCTGAATTAAACATCGCGAAATTGTAATTATCTAAAATCTAGCAAGCAGATCTCATAAAAAGAGGGAATAAATTCACCGAAAATCAGAAACTCACCGAGGTGGAATTGATGGCCGCACAGAAGCTTTGCCCAAGATCTATCCCCATTATCACTGACGACTTCCAAGCAAATGGAACACGAGACCACAAGTGACCCTTTGCCTTCCGCTGTTCCTCCACCGACCGCGGCACCATCGCCGTCGTCTAAAAGATCCGCACCGTCCAAACCCATCTCCAATTGATCAATAATTTAATCACCCAAAACCAAAACCCAACCTTTTTCCAACCCAATTGACTCAAATTTAAATTAGAAACACAACAAATAAATCAAAATCACAGAAATCCCCCCAATTCCCACCACCCAAGAAAGACAACCCACAAAATAAATTAAACAAAACCCGAAAATTTCCTTTCCTCCTGGGTAAATTCTTTTTTTTTTTTCTTTTTTGGATCCCTTCCTTTTTTTTCCAAACTAATTTCGAATAAGTACAGTGAAAAAAATGGAATGAGAGAGCTGGGGAGTGAAGGGACAAAGTCTGGTTTGTGCGTAATTTTGTTCTTGATATTAGATAACGTGAGATAATGGGAAGAGAAAAGAGAGAGAGAGAGAGAGAGAGAGAGAGAAAGATGGGGAATCGGGAAAGAGAAAAGAGAGAGCGTTTACGATGTGAAGAGAGTAATGTGACTCTTCCTCTCTCTCTCTCTCTCTCTCTGTATTTTTCTCTTTTGGTTACGTTTTGGTGGACCGGTGGTGTGTGTCACTGTGTGTGTGCGTGTTTTTTTTTTTTTCCTTCTTCTTTTCTTTATTACATTAATTAATTAAATAATTATTATTTCGGGTAATTTTCGGTATGCATTTTCTCACCGCCCGCCTGTTTCTGAGAGCCGCTGGATTTGGTAAAATTCTCATCAGCTTTCAGCTTTTTTATTTATTTGTAATTTTTTATTTGGACCAATAAAATAAAAAGTGATGGAAGATGATATCAGGACAAACCGACGCAAACGATGCAGAAAAGTTCCAAAAGAGTGACCAAATCTCGTAAGTTTGGAATATCGGCCCAGTACCAATGCAATTTACTAACTCTTATGTACTACTTGTACTATTTCTCTACTACTATTCTACTTATCTACTTATCTTCAACATAACTGCTGCTGCTCTTCTTCTTCGCCACTTTTGGAATGTTTAATCATTATTTTTTCAGTATTCACTGTCGGTAATTGTAATTGACACCGATTCATAAATATTTTGATGAATAAAAAATCATTGGACAAAGTTTTTAAGATTATTCTATACTTAAGACGATATTCAAATATCTGACCATAGAGTATATAAGATTGACGATTTTTTGTTTTTAACTATTACATATATATCTATTATTCTGTGTCAATAATTGCTAACAGTGACTAATTTACTTGTTAAGTTGTAGATAAACTTGATGGATGGGATATTTTGTTAAAAGATTAACGTTGCACATATTTATTACGAGTATCAAATTTTAAACCTATGCTCAAAGGTAGGGAATAGTTTCCATTCCACCGCAATACATTTGAATGTTTCATTCGAACATTTAGGCCAAATTTATTTGGATAAATTGAAATAAATGACAAACAATTTATCAGAAAGTAAGTTGACATTGAGAGGGATTTTTAATCATCAAAAAAAAAAATACCCGTTTTTTAAATGAAAGCTCTGGATGAAAACTTTTTTTTTTTTTTTTTAAGTTGGATGAAAACTTGAACACTTTATTCCTCACTAAATAAGACAATATTTTTGGATGTTTTTTTTAATTCAATATATGTGATTCTTATTGTATAATCATATATTGTTTAGCGAAAGCAATCTTATACATAATTATTTTTTTTAACCGATCTACTAGTTGGTTTCTTTTGTTATCAACATAGTTATGACATTTTCCTTAAAAGGAAAACCAACAAACGTTATTTTAAACGAATGAAGTATCTCTTTTAATTCATTAAGTAAATTAGTGAAGCACCATCAAAATATCTTCTACTAAACTTGTGACAAGAAGGAGAGCGTTTGTGAATACTGATAAATACTTTTTCTTACATTTAAGAATTAAAGGTCTGAAATTGGACCGAGACAGGAGTTTGAACTTTGAATTCCATCTCAAAGTCAAAATTCTTCAGGTAATATTCACGTTTTTTATGTCTATATTCAACATAATAATGCATGTATAAAAGCTACGACAAGTTAATCACTCTTGATTTTAGCATTTACTCTCTCTGTCCCAAAATTATTGTTCAGTTTAAGATTTTAATTTTAGTACAATTTGAACTAGAAATGAAAATCTAAATTGGACAATAATTATGAGACGGAAGGAGTAATTCGTATTGTGAAATAAAGAGATACAATAAATGGATATTTAGAATCACCAGTATCTATCCTGGGCGCCAGCAGTCCAGCATATATTTTGCTTGCTATTACAGTATTTGGTTAGAAAAACACTATAGTTAGGGCAGTCGACTCGAAACAAATTTGGTACGTAAAAATGTTATAAAAAAAAGTTAAAAAAAAAATAAATTGTAAAAGAATTGGAGTACGATTAATTGACCAGGCACCGAGTCGTACATGTTGGGTTGCACTAACGTTGACTGTCTGCATTATTAATAGAAAAACATATACTAGTCAAATAAAGCCTTTAGTACTAAAAAACCATGCAAAAATGTCTCACGCTATGTGTGTATTTTATCCTTATGTCCTTATATAAAAGTACTGTATTTCCAACTTCGTTAACATAATAGACCAAACTCTTATAAGGGCGGAGCTACATACAGGGTTGGTGGGGCAATTGCCCCGCTGAAATTTTTTTTTTTTTGGATTATTACTCTAAATTTTAGCATTTTTCTTTTAAAAAATACATTTTTCCCACCTAAATTAACAATATTATAGGACAAATATATTACATTAATAATATTATAAATCTTGCCCCATCACTTCTTCGGGGCTTAGCTCCGATAAATGTATAATACCTTCGTTAGTTACTTATTACCCAAGAAATCTTTATTCTATTTAGAAAAAGAAACAAAGGAAAAACAAGCATACTCACAACATAGATTCATCATTTTTTTCCCATCCAAAACAAACAACTCACTTTTTTAACGAAAAATAATTTTAAACCTATAATAATGGTGGTTTATATATTAAAAAAAAATACTATAAACAACTCATTTCACAATAATTTGCACTTTGCACATTCTCCTACCCTTTACTAGCGAAACCATCACCATGTATTCAAGTCTTCAATGGGCACTATATATTTGGTATAATTTATCAGTTGGTTGCTCATGAATACTTTCCCAGTGTTCTAAAAGACTGTTCAGTTTTTTTTTTTTTTAATATAATTTGTACTAAAAATAAAAATTCATACTGGATAATCATTTATGAGGCGACGGGAGTAATAACATATATTCAATTGCTAAAGTGTGTAATTAAAGAAAATTGAGGGAAATGTTGGGAGAACCAAAATGAAAAAAGATATGTATGATTTAAAACCGAATTAAGGGTGAAAAATTATACGGAAGATAACCTTATTAAAAAATAGGGGGAATTGGAGGATGATTATTGGGTTCCAACTTCCTAATTCCAACCCATTTGACAGCTTTGATGTTCCTCTCTTCACAAATCATGTTCAACAAAATCGAAGGAGTTGCTGTCCAAATGAAGTTGGTTCAAGGTTGGTTTAACTGATTACTGGTACGTAGTGTAAGTAGTAACTGATTACTGGTACAATTAGGCTAAATTTATTTGGAGAAATTGAAATACATACAAAAATTCATCAGAAAGTAACTTCAGATTTGAGCCTGATTTTTATTAATTATATATCAAAATACCATTTTTCTAATGAATCTGTATGATAAAAGTCTAAAATTGGACCGAGACACGAGTTTGATGTTTTGAACTTTGAATTCCATCTCAAAAAGTCAAAATTCCTTCAGGTAATATTCGCGTTTTGATATGTCTCTATATCATCAACATGATAATTCATAAAAGGTACGACAAGTTAAACATTCTTGATTTTGGCATTAGTTCCTATTGTGAAACGAAGAGATACAATGAATGGATATTTAAAATCAGCAGTATCTATCCTGGTCGCCAGCTAGGGGTGTTAATTCGGCCGGTTCGGTCGGTTCGGCCATTATTCGGTTCGGTTGAATCGGGTTTTTGAGACTGTTTAAACCGTCCAATAACCGAACCGAGAGTACAAAAATCTGAACCGAACCGACTGAAAAACCGATGGGGTTAGTCGGTCGGTTTACTATTAAACCGAATCAAATGCAATGCAACAAAGGCTTAAAAAATTCCAATCCGAATCCGAAATACAACAAGTCATGCAACAAAAAAAAAATGTTCAAATCGAATCCGAAATACAATTCAAAGCCTTAAAAATTCCAATCCGAAAACAGCCACGAATTTCAACATGAATGATGAATCAATGGAATTAAAGTTTTCCTTCAACAACAAATAAAAGAAAACATCAACAGCAACTCAGCAAGGTCTTCTTAGATGCTTTTAGTTCCACATTCCACACTCAGCAAGGCCCTTTTAAATTTGATAAGCAAGCAAATGAAGCAATCATCAGTCATCACTCATCAGTCATCACATAACATCAACAGGCTTCTTTTCTTCATAGTCTTAACTCTTAAGCCAATTTCCTGGAACTTCTAAAAGCAGAAGAGAGAATGAAATCAAAACTCAGAAGAGAGGTAAACAAAATCTCTAATGAATCTGGCAAATCAGAAGAGAGAATCAAGAGTGAGAAAAATCACCTGTTGTCTGTTGACAGAAAGATAATGAATCATGGTAAATCTAAATTTATGCCACTGTCCTTTGGAATGAAATCTGCAGTAGGTAAACACAAAACCAAATAAGTTATTGTAAGTAACAAATAAAAGGAATACACAGTTAACTTTAAATATTACTCTATAATTATTAAATTGTTACCTTTTACCACTGTTTCAAGGTCTTCTCAAGTTTCTTCAACCTTCACAATCTCTGGCTTCTCTGTAGGATCACGGAGCCAATCTTGAGCACAAATAAGTCCTTGAACTACTTTCGGAGTCAAAGAACTTCTAAAAGCATCTAAGACTCTTCCACTTGTACTAAAACAAGATTCGGAAGCCACCGTTGATATAGAAATGGCTAAGAGATAACGAGCCATCATAGATAGAATGGGAAATCTAGGACTATTAACCTTCCACCAATTCAAAATCTCAAACTTTCCATCATCTTCTTCAAGATCTTCTTTCAAGTATTTATCTAACTCTGACTTTGAATTCATACCACCAGCCTCAATTTTCTTTTCTTCAATTGCATTCTGAACTTTTCTGTCAACATCTTTGAAGCTTGTACATCAATGGGCGAATTCCTTTTTCCCAAAGAAGATTGAGATGACTCTGGAGGGGGAGAATGTGAACTACGTTCCAGGTTATGTATCTTCACATAATCAGCATACATGTCATGTAGTTCACATTCAATCTGGTTTTTTCTTGACTTGCCATCTATTTTCCCATACATATCATTCAAAACAATTTCTAAATACTCAAGTTTGTTCCTAGGATCCAGAACACAAGCCACAAACAAAGCCATGTTGCAAGATTCAAAATTGCCAAAATATTTATCAAATTTATCCTTCATCATCTTTGCCATTAAAGAGATGCTAGAATCTTCAGATTCATTGATAAGTTTCCTTAAAAGAGCCTCAATGAAAGTAACACCCTCAAAGTAAAAATTTGAAGATACAGATTTAGTTTGAGAGACTTTCAAAGTAAACTCATAAAAAGGTTGAAGGATACCTGCAAATATTTTGGCCTCATTCCAATCAATAGAAGTAGGCA